ACTGTGGGACACTTGCTGAGCAGAGCTGCTAACAGGATGTGGAACCAACCCAAGAAAGAGTGTATTGTAGAAAACAAAGCGGAAAGGAGGTGGAGATCTGAAGAGTGCTTTGACATCAGACATGAAGATGCAGAGTTTGGAGTTTGCCCTGCTGAGTTTTGGTCTTGCTTTGGTCCAGTATTTCCTCACTATGCTCACTTTCCCCAATTTTGGAATGGTGATGTAGATTCTGTGCCATTGGAAGTGTGTGCTCTCTTTCTGTTTTGATTTTACAGGGGATTGCAGTTAGATTGCCATGAGGCTCAGAAGAAACTTTGGATTTTGGACTTTTAAACACTGGCTGAGACTACTATAGATGCTGGGGACTTTTGAAATTGAACTAAATAGATTTTGCATTATGATATTATAAGCCTGGCAGGGGCAGGGAGTAGAATGCAGTAGTTTGAATGAAAATGGCCCCATTGGCTCATAGGAAGTGGCACTATTGGAGGTATGGCTTTGTTGGAATAGGTGTGGCTTCGTTGGAGGTAGCTTGTCACTGGGGGGTGGGCTTTAAGATCTCATGTAACGTGAAGGCGGCTTGCTAATTGCGGTTTCCGTTTTGCCCAGTTCCCCACAGCTGGCAAGCCCCAAAGAAAATCACACAGAGATCTCCATAAGTTATAAAACTGATTGACTCATTAGATCAGGCTACTTATTAGCTCTTGTAGCTTATATTAACCCATTTTTCTTATCTATATTAGCTACATGGCTTGGTAACTTTCTTAGTGGGGCAGCTCACATCTTGCTTCTTCAGTGATCTGGGCAGAACTGCAGAGGGAGCTTTCTGCTTCCCAGAATACTCCTGTTCTCTTCGCCCTGCCTCTACTTCCTGTCTGATTGACCCACCTATACTTCCTGCCTGGCCAATCAGAGTTTATTTAAAACATGATTGACAGAATACAGACAATTCTCCCGCACCAATCTCAGATGCTCAAGCCAGGTTCAGTGTGGCACTCTTTTCCTGCTGTCTGCCAATCTGGATGTAGAACTCTCAGCTACCTCTTCAGTGCCTGCCATGTCTGCCTGAGTGCAGCCTTGCTTTCCACCATTATGACAATGGACTAAACTTCAGAACCGTAAGGCAGTTTTTTTTTTTTTAATAAGAATTGCCATGGTCATGGTGTCTTTTCACAGCAATAGAAACCCTAAGACAATGGGTAAAGGTATCTGCTGTCAGACCTGATAACCTGAGTTTAATCCTTCTAGCCCACATCAAGGAAGAAGAACACCAACTCCTCAAGTTGTCCCGTGGCCTCCACATGCACACACACACATGCACACATGGAATGGAGAAACTGAAAGCTGTTTAAAATGTAAGTATTGTTTCTATGTGAAAAACTGTAACATACAGAAATAAGTAAACTTATCAAAACGTTAATCATGCTTATGAATATAACCATTTAATAGCACTTAATATCAAAAGCATGAGTGGATGGAGACATGGTCCGTTCTTTTATATGGGAAGTTTTCATATGAAAAACCTATGAGTCATTCTAAGTTACTTTAAGGCAATTTCGATGGGCTTCCAGTTTTCTTAGAGCTAAATATAACATTACATGACTTATGTAGAAAAGCAAAGATTTAAAAGTCAGTGAACAAAAATGGAGCTTGAAATTAGATTGTGGATATCCGGAAATTCAAGACATCATACTAGCGGTGACCCACAACAGCTCAGAAAAGGTAGCGTGTTTGATAACCAGTGATGGCCAGATGCTCTCTGCATAGAGGAAAACAAATCTGGAATTTCATTTATAGTACATTTTAAAAAAGTCCAGACTGATTAAGATACAGAAAGTTATATAACAGAAATTCCAGAAGAAAATTTGCACTACTATTTGTATCATTTTAGGAGTAACTTCTTAGGTAGCGCTCACCTGTAATCACAACTCTCGGGGTAGACATGGGAAAACCAGGAGTTCAAGGCCAACCTCAGCTACACAGCAAGTTCCAGCTTGAACTTAGTGAGATCTTGTTTCAAAAATACAAAACAAAACACAAAATCAATAAATGAAAGAAAAAATCTATACTACACTAGAAATATATATATATAAATTTATGTATTTGTGTGTATATATTTGTATGTATGCCTATGTATGCAAGTGTGTATGTATACACATATTTACCTGAACAAAAATTTAAACTGTTCAGCAAAAGATACTAACTAGAATCTAATCATGAATAATACACAGAAACACAAATGTAATGCATACAAATGTCAATCCTTTGTGTATACAGAGAAATTTTGTTCATAGGACAAGAAAAGAAAAGAAATCCCACGGGAAAATAAGACAAAGGACAGTGGCAGAGGTGGCTATGCATTCTCATGCCACCTTCAGAGAGTGCTTATCCAACCAGGAATCACCTAGTGTGACCATGTCACTCCCAGAGCTGGGGAGGCTATGGGGACTGCGTCGCCTTCCCACTCATCTTTCTGAAGCACAGGGAAGAGCCCAAGATGGGCAGAGCCATGCGCCCAAGTCATCTCCTGCCTACCATACATCTTCATTATACTGTGGCAAGGATGAAAAAGAAACTGCTATTATTTTACCCCAGAGAACATGAGCTTAATTTTTAAATTGAATTATATGCACCAAATACAGAAGACAAAACTACAGTTCACAGGAATGAGCAACCCTCCAGTTAATGAACTTCCTCAGCAGTCAAGAAAGCACAACAAGGGCAAACCACTGAAAAGAAGACAATCGAATTGGCAACACTTGAAGGAGCCCGAAGCATAGAGCAGCTGCGAGACCAGCACTGTGGGTCTAACTGCCCTGTCGTGCGGCTGGGGCACACACCCAGCACCAGGGTGGAAGCAGAGACTGGCCGTGCACTCAGCTCGCGTGCAGCCCATCGTGTTGTTCTTGACGGAGTGAGTGCCTGGAAGACCAACAAGCCTCTAGATTTAAATTACAGCTTCAGACACATTGAATCGAAGTGGGGGAGTTAAACAGTATGGGTGGAATAATCAGAGAGCTCCATGGTGTCATATATTCTAGAAGGTACCGTGACTAGACATGTTAAACACTAATGTCATTAAAAGCAAAATCTTGGATAGACTTTTCATTTCCACAGGAAACAGAGAACAATAGATATAAAAATCAAATGTAGTACATTAATCTAGCTTGAATCCAGGCCAGAACAAAAGTTCTAATGGATAGTTGGGGAAATTTGAAAATGTGTTAAGTATCAGTGATCTTATAAAATACTTGACATTATTTTCGGTATGGCAGAGGTTTTGTGCCATTTAGCAGTCATGTTGAACTGTGCAGAAGTAACGGCTGCGATAGTTAGAAGTGAGCTGCCAAGCAGCATAAATTGCCTGTGCTCCTAGATAGAGAGGAAGCAAATTAATACATTTTGCCTCTCAGCTTCATGGGTGCGAACCTACCACATAATAAAAGTTCTAATGCATAAAAATAAATGTGCATAGAATTTTTTGCCTCATTGTTGTTGGGACAAATAGCAAGAAGCAGCCAGACTATCCACTGATAGAAGGTGAAGAAGTTATGGTACATCCATGACTTTAAATACTACATGTCAACTAAAACAAATGAAATTAAATTTGCTTGCATTGACCTGAGGGATAAACACATAGCATATTAAATAAGAAAGGGGTTATAGAATAATAGTGTACCCATAAACCTGCTTGTACAAGACAATATTCATAAAAATCTTATTTTCTAAGTATCTATCAACCATCTATCTACCTACCTGTCATCTATTCACATCTGTTTATCATTTATGTAAATATACATATACACACACAACACACACCCACATGAGTGGCATCAGTCTATGAACAATGCTAGCCTAGAAGACTAAAAAGCAGTTAACCTGTTTCTTCACTATCTTTGCATCATTTCACCTCTTAGAATTAGGTGAACTATAATAAAATTTCTCAAAAACCTCACAAAATAAAGTTTGCTTGAGATACCCTCTCTAACGCAGCTACGGATATTGGATGATTTCCTTTAAAATGCTATTTCTCTTTTATTTTGAGATTTATTTTTAATTATCTGTGTGTATTTGTGTGTTGGTGTGTGCACATGTGTACAGGTAATCCTAGAGGTCAGAAGAAAGTGTCAGAGTTCCCAGAAGCTGGAGTTACACTCTGGTAAGAGCTGCCCAACATAGGTGCTGGGAACCAAACCTGGTCCCTCTGCGAAAGCAGCAAGCACTCTTAATTTCTGAGCCATCTCTCCATCCATAAAATACTATTTCTTTATCACTGTAATGGGACTTTGGGGGGGGGCAGGTAAGTTACAGCCTGCTTGCTCTATCTCTCTTTCAGTGTTCCCCCCCCCCCAATGACTATACTGTCCAGTGCCTCTGTCTGCACCCACCCAGTTTCTTACAGTGAGCCATCCTAGGTGAGTCTTGGGAACCAAACTCAGGTTCTGCAAGGGCAGCAAGAGCCCTTACCCACTGAGTGATCTCAGCCTCCTTCATCATCGTAAAAGAAATGTATTTGGTGGAACAACATTTTCAGTAACTTGATAGCTCCTAACTCTTTGTTGGCAATCCACCTGAAGATTTTGCATGGGCCTGTTTTCTAGTTGACACCCGCTGCCTTGATGTTAAGTTACAGGGGCAGATTGCAACAGCAGTGGGATGGACGGGCACAAGCTCATCCCATCCATACCTCAAATCTCCCCCAGCGCCCGGGGCAAGGAGCAGGTACAGAACATGCTGATGGTTAACCTGGGTTAGCTAAGTGGAGCCGCCCTCCTTCAAGCGTAAAGAGGTCCCCTGTTGAGGGTGACCCAAGAAAGCACACCCCTGGGGTTGCTAATGGAATATGTCAAGGGAGTGAGAGGAGACAGCAGGCCGAGCACAGAGATTTCTTTTTAAGTCACTGAGAGCCATTGTTTCCATTACAGATCTGGAAGGCACCACTGGGCATCCTGGTGTCCTTCAGTCTGACTGTTTCCCAGGTCGAGACAGGAGTTCTTTTCCATAATGCCCAAGATGGAGAGGCCTTCACTTCTACAGAAATTGTCATTGACATAAATTTGTGTTTTCTCTGCTCAGTGGCTCAGTGGCTCAGTGGTCGCAAAGGAACCTGGAGTGGCCTGCAAGCTCTACAGCATGGCACCGCCATCTGCCGGGCTGAAGGGGCCTGACCGCCTGACCCCAATGTGCCCTGAAACAAACAAGTTAAAAGAAAATTACAGCCACGAAAGAACTCAGGTAATGCAGTGATGGAGAGCCCTGCTGTCCCTCTTATGGGACACTCCCAAGAGTGCTCAATCCTGCCCTGCTCCCCAAATTGTGCCCAGTAACCAAGGAGCTACCCCTCCATTTGGGCTGCGGATTCTGAGCCTCACATTCTGTCATTGTGCCTTCCTGGACCCTTTGGATTTCCTGTCTTTATTCCAACTTTCTCCAAGGATATCAAATCTGAATCTTTTCTTAACCCTTTCTCTAGCATGGTGGTTCTCAATCTGTGAGTCACAACCATTACAGGGGTCGAAAGACCCTTTCACAGGGGTTGCATATCAGATATCCTGCATATCAGATATTTACATTTCTATTCATAACAGTAGCAAAATTATAATTATGATGTAGAAATGAAAATAATTTTATGGTGAGGGGTCACCACAACACGAGGGCCTGTATCAAAGGGTCGCAGCATCAGGAGGGTTGAGGGCCACGGCCCTAGCACCTACGATCTGATTCATATTCAGAGATCGGAGCTGCATGGCTGTCTGGCCCGGCGGGTGGCAATAAGCCTGTCTGCCATGCACATGTTCCAGGACTTTCCCCTTCACTCGTGATTTTATCTGAATGGAATGTGCAGCCCGGATGACATATTTCAGGGCAGACAAACCTCGTTTGCAGCTTCTCAACACAGATCGGTTGTCTCAGCAACACCTCATGTTAAAATAGCATCCGGGGTGCTCTGCGCATTTGTGCAGGTATTGGCCCAGTTTACATTTCAATTAGGCTAGGCTGGTTGGATAGGGACCCCCCAGGTCTCCCCTTGTCTCCACCTCCTCGGTGCTGGGATTACTGTCTTTGGGTTTTTTTTTTTATACATTTATTTTGTTTGTTTCATTCTGGTTTTTTTGGAGTCCGGGCACGTGTGGAGGTCAGGGGATAATTTTGAGGATTCAGTTCTCCCTTTCTGCCATGTGGGTTCTGAGGACTAAACTCACTCTGTCGGGTTTGGTGCCAGTCACCTTCACCCATTAAGTGACCTCATCTCCCTACACTCAGTTCTGTGGGGTTTTCCCTCCTGGGCTTGGAGAGCAGACTCAGGCCCTCACACTTGCACGGCCAGCACTTTACTGGCTGACCTACTTTGCTAGCCCAGAACTACCTTTAATGGCCAATGATGCTACCCACCATTTTAAATTAAACAAGAAAGGCCAAGTTGCCTCTTGGGGCTTGTCAGTCTCAGAACCATGTGGACTTGGCTTCTGCTTCATCTCCACTGTCTCCCTGCTGTCTCTGCTCCAGGTCCCTTCCCTGCTTGAGGCTGAAGAAACCTCTGAGATTCCCTTCTTAGGCTCCCTTGACAGCTGGCACTTAAAGGGGCAGGGTGGGCTGCCTTCCTGCTTTCCAACGCCAATCAGCAGCCATGGAAGAACTCCCAGCTGCCCCCTTAACTAGGCTCCCTCAGGCTACGCTGTGCTTGTATAACGATTGCTTGTATAGTGATAGCAAGTTGTGATGGAGTCCCATTGTGATGCTACAGCCAACCATGGTCTCTCCTCTTTCTTACCCCAAGAGATTTCTGTACACCTTAACGTCCCCCTTCAGTGATCTGTCTACACTCTAGGCTGAATTACTAACCACAAAATCTAAGTCGTGGGCAGGCCTCCTTGTCAAAAGAACAGAAGCCCAGCAAGCTGAAGTCCCAACTCTGCACACCAGGCTCAGCCTTTAAGACCCGGGCAGTCGCAGAGCAAAGCTGCCCACATGAGATCTGCTCCACTGACAGTTCCTGGCCATCAGCAGCTGAGCATGAGCTGACTGGATCCACCGCCATCACCAACATCTGAATGGAACACCTCCTCCGGCTCCAAGACCTTTCCCACACTCCGCTGTCTGTCGAGAGCCCCAGCTATGGCCCTCCCTGCCTGCTAGGAAACCTAAGTTTCCCGAGCCTCAGCCTTCTGTTTACTCAGCTCCCCATGCCTGCTGCGCTGATTCTGGGCTTGGTGTGCCTGGCACGCTTTCTGTTTTCTTGACTAGAACATGACTCATGCCCTCCCGCTGTCACAGCCTGTGCTTTAACAAATAGGGTTAGGTCACCCTTGATAAGCTAATTTAAAAAGCCAAAGTAACCGTGATAAGCAGAAAAGGGAGATTTATTCAGTGTGGACCTACTGGAAAGAGACAGGGAGATTCAATGACTCCCCATTCATCTTTGAGCCCTGAAGTGAAGGTGACATTTAAATAGAAAGTCAAGGTTATGCATATTTAAGCAGTCCCCAGTCAAGGCGTGGTCCTGCCCACCACTTACCTGCCATCGCCCATCTGTAAGGTGGCCTGTCAAGTGTTCAGTCTCTTTCTTGGCTGGCCTAGGCTTTAGGCTTTCTCTCCTCCCAGCACAATGTTCCTGGGGAGGAATATCCCGATTATTGGGGTCCATAGTGAGTTACACGTGTGTCTCTTCAGAATATCTTCAGCCCTGCCGAGTCTGTTTCATCAGGGTGTTAGAAATGGAGCATGTCTCAGGAAGAAATACAGTGTCGACGTGTCTGTCACTAAGTTAAAATGAATTCTAAGACCCAGATAAAATTCTGTCTTTTGTCAAGTGTGGCCTGCAAGGGCATCATAACCACTCACTATCTGTGCCGGCTTGCAGCAAAGTGCTTGTGTTGGTCAAATGGGGGCTTCTGACCCACGAGAGAACTTACAAATGGAAAATGACAAGCTCTGGCCTTTCAAGCCACAACTCGGCTTATGGGTGGACTAACTCACCCCACACAGGATCTATAGATATGTAGACTCTATAGATATTCCTGATAGTGGGAGGGACAAGATGCAGCAACTTCCTTTTCACTTTGGAAATGAAATCCTGGCATTTTCTACATCTCTGGAGGCCCTGGAAACTGGTGAGGTGCTGTGGAGGTGGGTGTCTCAGAGAGGGCTCTGGGTATGAAGATATTTCCGCCCTAGGAGATTATTCACTCGGTGACATTTCCAGTAAGCTCTCAATACTCAGATGAAGAAAGGATGTGTTCTGCTTGTGGATAGAGCTGCCTCTCCACCCTCTCTGTTGCTGACTCAATGGCCCGTGTGCAATATATCCATTTCAGCAGCCCATGCCTTGCTCCGTATATGGCCTTTTCTTCACCAAGGTAAAGTGAGTTGTAGCATCACAGAATGCCAAATCTGTTGATAGCAGAGATACACACTGAGTACTAATTGTGAGGGCCACCTGCAGTCAGGGTAACTTCACTGGACCCCTTTATGGAAGGACTGAAGTTGTTAGTCCTGTCGAAATGGACTCTAACTCTAGGTGGGAATTGCCTCTTCCCTGCAATGCCCTGGCAGCATTACTCTCCATGGATGTCTGGAACAACTTGGCCGTGCTCATGAGTTCTGGTCATAGACTATTTCATAGCAAAGGGGATGCATCTGGTTCACCAGGATGCTGGAATGACCGATGAACCAGTTTTCCAGAAGCTCTGTTGTTGCTATCTAACCCTATAACTCCATCTCTGGCTTACAGAAGCACGGTGGCCTCAGGAGGGAAGTTAGATAAAAATTCCCAGCACTCTAACATGGGGACAGAACCATGGGGACTCTGTTCCTCACCTGTTTGGAATGCCTTCATGTTTAGCAAAGATTCTTATGTCTCAAAATGAAAACAAGTTGTTACCGCTGTGTGAAATGTCAAGGAAGAATAGATTGGACATGGATATTGGCGAAAGAGCTTGTTTCTTACGCACCGTTTTGAGAAAGAGCATAGAATGCAGCCTCTCTTCTGCTCTGTGATCCTGGGACTGAGACTGGGACATTTCTCAGTCTCCATTTCCAGCTTTCTGATGTGTTAATCAAAAGTACTAAAGGAGAATTGGACAGTGGGATACAAACCTTTTAGAAACTTCACTCCCATTCTGATTCCTCAGTGCTTCAGCATGTGCAATCAGTAGACTCCAACTGCCACAACTCTGACGTTAGCAGGCTAATCTTTCCTCCCATGGTCAAGGGACAGTGCTGGGGGCTGCTCATCCCAGCCTGGGCTTTGATAACACCCTGCCTTCCAGGAACAGAATCTTGTGCACACATACACACTAGACAATTGTTCTACTACTGAGCACGCTCAAGCCTACACAGTTCCTCCGCTTCTATGTTTTTAATTTTTGAGTTGCTCAAGAATCTATGTTTTGTCTTTTCAGATTTCTAACACCTGTGCAAGCAGTTCCCTGTGTGATTAAACCCTCTTTGTTTGGAATGCCTCACGTGACTTTTCCACACTTTTCCAGGCAACCCAAGTTTGATTCCTAGCACTCACACCAGGTGGATCACAACCATCTGTCACTTGAGCTCCAAGGGATCTGACGCTTTCTCCTGGTCTCCATGGACACTTAAATTTGCACACACACACACACACACACACTTAAATGAAAACAAAGTTGTTTTTCTTTTCTTAAAAAACTATCCCAATCTAATCAGCAAGGACAGCAAGCAAGATGACCCTCCTATCAGTGTTCTTGAAAGGCACAGAGACGGTTTTCTGCGGGTCCTAAAAGCTGGTGTGTGTCTTTTCTTCATTTCTCCTTCCTTCTTTATTCCTTCCACCCTAACCTCCAGAATATTGTCTCATCCTTTCCAACCTGCTGACAATACACTTCTAAATTTGATAAGGGATAGAGAAAAAAATCTATAAGTTACCTGTTTTGGAATGATTAATACTTTAAAAAGTATTCCTGAGGTTACCAAATTTTTCATGCAACAAAAGAGCACTGAGGTGTGGCTAGTGGATGACATGTGCACCCATAGGAAGGCTTCACTGTCCTCCTCTGACCACGGAACTGTGGGTCCCATCATAGTTTCTCAGAGTTCTGAGACATTTATCACCTCACAGAGGGCACTACAAAAGTTAAACAAAATAAATGACTCTGGAGAGTTCTGATGTACATTATCTCTCTTTAGTAACATCAAGGACAGAGAGGCCTTCCACTGGCAACTGTGTATGTATGTGTAGACATCAAGGCATTTAACATTATTTAATATTCTAGTGAAGCTTTTTCAACTTCACACAAGTTAGGCTTATCTGGGAAGAGAGAGCCTCAGTTGAAAACAATGACTCTATTTATTGACCTGTGGGAAAACCTCAAGGGCATTGTCTTCATTTATGTGGGGGGCTCCACTCAACTTCAGTTCCTATCTTCAGGTTCCTGCTTTGTGCTTCTGCCCTGACTTCCCTGGATGATAAGCTGTAAGCCCAGGTAGAATAAGCCCTTTCCTTTTCAAGGTGCTTTGGCCATGGTGCTTTTTCACAGCAATCATAAAGCAAACTAAGACATTTAGGTATGTATCATAATGTTTTTAGTTGTAAGTAACAGACTTTCCAATTAATAATTACCCAATAATCCAGAAATTCCACTTTGAGCTATTTACCTCAGAGATCTGAAAAATATGACCATGCAAAACCTTAACATGATATTCATAATATAATTATTGATGACAACCAAATATTTAGGAACTAATGAACAAATGAGCATGGTGTAGACACATGGTAGAACATCTTTCATCTTTAAAAAGGAGTGAAGAACTGATGCATACCACAATACAAATGAACCTCAAAAGCCAGGAAATAAGCTAGAAAAGACCAGTGCATTCTGATTCCATTTTGAAATATGGACAATTCCATGAAGAGAGAAACGTGTGGGTTTCAGGCCAGAGTGAATAGGAGGATGTATGTTATGGCTTCAGTACAACATGTCACTCATAAGCTCATGTGTTGGAACACTTGGTTGGTCTCTAGCTGGCACACTGTGTTGGAAGGCTGTGGAACCTTTAGGGTGGAGCCTTGTGGAAGAGGTCAACTGTCTGATATGGGATATCTTTCTGTATATGTGTTGTTTTTATTGGTTGATCAATAAAGCTGTTTGGCCAATGGCTTAGCAGAGTACAGTCAGGCAGGAAATCCGAACAGAGATATATAGAGAGAGTAGGCAGAGTCAAGGAGACTCCATGTAGCTGCCAAAGGATGCGAGAACCTAACCAGTAGGCCAAATTCCCAACCAGTGTCGTGGTGATACACAGATTAATAGAAATTAATTAATTTAATATGTAAGAGCTAATTAGGAATATGCCTAAGCTACAGGCCAAACTGTGTTGAAATTAATATAGTTTTGTGTAATTATTTGTGTCTGGGTGACTAGGAAGCATATGAGCAGTCTGTCTACATATATGGCACCCAACATGGGGCATGAATCCACATAAGACTAAAAAAAACTTAAGAAAGAAAAGGGCTTCTAGACCCACAAAAGTGGGAGTCAAGTACAAGTGCTGGGTAGCCACATTTTTTTTCAGATAGGCCCTGTTTGCTGGTGGTGAGCAGAGGCATGCCTCCTTTAAGAGAAGGCTTCCTGACTTAGCATTAGCAACAAAAACTGTGTGGCTCCTTTAAGAAAGGGCTTCCTGGTTCATGATAGTGACACAGATGGCTCTGGCTTGTTTGGAGCATGCTACAAGTTTCTTGGTGGCAGCATGGGCCAACTGCTTCTCAGAGTTGAGGGTGAGTGTGGTTCCCACCCCGTAGTCCTAGAGCCGGTGGAGAACTATGTCCATCTTGTTAAAAGACTGAGAGAGGTGGAGCCACTACAACCACAGTGCTTGCCATTTTAAAAATGCTCCTTTTCAGAAAAGGATTTCAGATACACAATGAAAAAGACCCCTGAATGGGTCACAATGTTGGATAAATGTACACGGGCTTAAGAGAGTGAGAGAAGACAGTCATAGATTAAAGGAGTAAAGATAATAAAATAAATCTTAAAAAGTAATAGAGTTAAAAAATAAGCCATGCAAAGACAGAAAATACACAGAGAGTCTGGATTATGCATATTATTGTGTTTTCTTTGAATTCTTGACTACAGAGAGACATTTGATTCTGGGGCCTGCGAAGCTAAACCAGCATATATATTTTACTTCAAAATTTGCATCTAAGAATATGCTATTTTGGAAAAAGATGTTCTGCTTTAGTTTCCACTGGAGATGAGAACCTGTGGATTCCTTCCAAGCTAATGTTCCCTGAAAGGTCTCTGTGAACCCTAAAAATACTTCACCCAAGAAATAACAAGAAGCAGTTTGGAGAAAATAATGCCCAAATTCCCAAAATGATTGTTTATAAATGTTTATTTTCATTTTAAAAAGGTTGGTTATAATTGATTAATGGTCACAGTCAATTTCTTTAAGAAAGAAAAGGGGGGATGTTCAGATAGGCTCAATACTTTGCATTGGTCTGGACGTGGGTCTATTGATACAAATTTAAGAACAATGAACAATTTTGTTACACTGTCTATTTATTTCTGCTTTTGATTAAGGCATTGTGTTTGTGCAGCTCATTTAAAAATATAATGTATAATTTAAAATTACAGATTAATAGTCATTTATAATAGTTAAACTTGTAGTCATGTTAGTTAGGTTTTTTTAGATATATAGAAATATATTTCAGCTAGATAAATAATCTTTAACACTTCAAAATCTACAGAATATGACATTTAAAATGTTTTAAGAACTTAGACTTTTCTCGACAGTGAAACATGTTTGCTCCTGGCAGCACCTATTACTTTAGAGAGGAAGATGGGCATCAAAAAGGTTTCTTATGGAGTTTGTTAGCCATTTGGACAAGAAACTGCTCTTGTCTGGACTGCTTGAAAGTATGCTGTATAAACTGGACATGCAAGACCCACAGAAAAATGACTGATGAACTTGCCAAAAGAAGGTGAGAGACAGTTCTTTGGGGTTTCTGTTTTGCCAGACATTCTGCAGGACACAAAAAAAGTGACTGACAAACTGCCAATATGGAAAAAGAGTCTTTCAAATTTCCTGCTTCATCGAAAAGTCTGCCAGATACTATGGGCCTGTAGGCGGAAGATGGGTGCCCCAACATTACAGAAGAACTTTGGGTGACTGTCCAGGCAGTAAGATATCTCTGTCAATTCTAGATCTTTGGAAGCTGCTTACAATGCACTTCCTGTTTACTTAGGTAATGTTATATCCTTCTGGGGTCTTTGATGGAGTTGAAGACTGGATAGTTATCATTATCGTTTTCCTTAGTTATAATAAAAGATAAATTAGATATGAAACTTTAAACTCACAAAGATAGGATAAATGACAGGATATTTTCCTTAATTTGCCAAATGTAAATGGACAACTGTTTTGTATATGTAATTTTGCTATGTTAGAGTTAAAACCTTCCTTTTCATTTAGATAGAAAAGGGTAGATGATGTGTGATTGGATTCCCCTTTGTATGCTGTGAATATGTTATCACCATTGGCTAATAAACAAGCTGCTTTGACCTATGGAGGGCAGAATAGAGGTAGGTGGGGAAAACTAAGCTGAATGCAGGGAGACTCCATGTAGCTGCCAAAGGAGAAGGACATCATATCCTTACTAGTATACCATAGATTAATAGAAATGGGTTAATTCAAGATGTAAGTGCTAGGTTGGAATATGCCTAAGCTATTGGTCAAACAGTGTTGTAATTAATATAGTTTCTGTGTGATTACTCAGGTCTAGGTGGCCGGGAAACCAATGCAGTCTCCATTTGCAGCTTTGCTGAGGTCTTACAGCTTAGCTCCCCTCCCACCACTCTCTACGCCATAGATACAGCGACCAGCTGCCATGCTCCTGCTGCTTCTGTGCTCCGTGGGCTGTACCCCTTGCTGGACCCAAAGCAAACCCTTCCTTCTTCAGGCTGCCTTGTCGGATGTTCTGTTGCAGTAATGAGAAGAGTAACTAATCCAGGCCTGTGAGCTAAAGGGTTTCTTTGCAGGTGACAGAAATGCTTAAAGTCCATTTGTGGGTATAATAGCACAATTCTGAAAACAGTCTAAAAGTTACTGCATGGCTTACTCTGAACGAGTGAATTATGGAGTAAATGATTGTTTTATAATTAAGCTATTCCCCAAACCCCTTACTTGAATAATAAAAGAAATTGTTTCTGAAGTTCCAGTAAGTGTGGAATGAGTGGGTTAGCAATGGAGGAATTCAGTGGTTCAACATGTCGTCATGTGCTAGCCCATCTTCTTCAGCTTCTTCATTCTCAGCAGCTGCCCTCTTGCTTGTACCACACCAGCATCATCGTTAGAAGCCCTGAAGAGAGATAAGGGAGAGTCCTTTTTGGTACTTTTGATTGCTGTATTGAGGCAAGGCCCAGGCTATTCTCAAAGTTATAGTCCTTGTGCTTCAGCCTCATGAGTGCTGTGCTTCCGGACATCATGTATCACCACGACCAACACCATGACCAATAAGAGATATTTTTTTTTTAAAACAGGGTTTCTCTGTGTAGCTCTGGCTGTCCAGGAACTGACTTTGTAGACCAACTTGGCCTCGAACGTAGAGAGATCCACCTGCTTCTGTCTCCTGAGTGCTGGGATTAAAGGCATGTACTACCACACCCATCTTAGAGTTCCTTTTTTAAGAGCTGCCACCATCCCCAATTTAAGAAAAAAACTTTCCAGATAGTTGCCAAGCTAATCCCTTGTGTTACTGATGAATCATGGTTTTTCACAAAACATTTGGCCAACATTGACAAGGGTCTGGAACACCATAACTTGTTCAAAGATCCAGGATTAAACAAGGTATCTCAGGCAGAGAGGCAGGATACTGTAGTTGAACTCAGACTCTGTCGGAGTGGCGGACACTGGCCAAGGCTTCCAGGTGGGCAGCCTCCATAGCCCCAGAGGATAAAGAGTTCTCTTACTGGAATCAGTCTTGATGTTGTTTACCTTATCTACTTATGCACCTACTTATTATTGAGGCTCTTGTGCTCGGTAGCCAAGCCTCTCGTGA